AACATCGTTCCGCCATCAGCCGACACCATTTCAGACCCATTAACCGTTGGTGAATCTGAGGTCTACAAATCAGAACTTTCTTTTCCACCTGGGTCAGCAGGCGGCTTTATAGGGTTAAAACCTCAACATATCAAGCAAATGTTAGATCCTGCGGTTGGTGGGTCAATCGCTGTTGGCAACACTCTCCGACGCCTGATTGCCAAGGCTGCTATGAGGGTTGTCAGCCAGCTAGCGCCTGAATTGCTGAAACCAATCCAGCTAGGATTTGGAATCCCCCAAGGCTGTGAAGCGGCTGCCCATGCAGCACGAGCATACATCACAAACATTTCTGAAGAAAAGGCCCTGCTCAAACTGGACTTTAAGAATGCCTTCAGCATGGTAAGAAGAGATGCAGTACTTTGTGTCGTACATCGCCATTTCCGGCCCCTCTACCCGTTCATACTATCGTGGTACAGTGGTGAGTCAAAACTGCTCTTTGGTGAACATGAAATCAGATCATGTGAAGGTGTTCAGCAAGGTGATCCTCTTGCTCCCCTTCTTTTCTGCTTAGTCTTAAAAGAAATCACCGAAAGCTTGTCCAGCGAGTTCAACATCTGGTTTTTGGATGATGGCACTATAGCTGGCACCATAGACCACCTCTTGGCAGATATCAGGAAAGTAAGGGAGCAAGAAGTAAGTCTGGGTCTCGTCCTGAACCCTTCCAAGTGTGAAGTAGTCTCCTCCAACCTAGACATCGTAGCTAGAATAAGGTCTGCCTTGCCTGGAGCCCATGTCATTAGGGCCGAGAACAGCACCCTCCTTGGAGCTCCCCTCGGGTCTAACGCCATTGAGGAGATCCTCGACAAGAAAATCGCAGACCTTAGGAGGATGGAAGACAGAATAGGTGACATCAACGCCCACGATGCTTTTTATCTCCTCACCAAATGCCTATCCCTTCCGAGGCTAACCTACTTTCTGAGATGCGCCCATCTTACGACAGGTGAAAGCTTGAAGAGTATGACCTCTTACTGAAGACCATGCTGGAAAAAGTTGTTAACCTCTCCCTCAACGAATGCCAGTGGAAACAAGCCACTCTTCCTGTCAGGCTCGGTGGCTTGGGTGTCCGCACCGCCACCCAAATTGCTGTCCCAGCCTTCCTGTCTTCCTCCTCAGCATCAGATGACCTGGTTAAGGAAATTCTACCTGACACCCTGAGTGATGTAGCGGGGATACAGGACCCCCACTACACGGAATGCGACACGAAATGGGGTGCCATGACAGACCCAGCACTCAGACCAGCCATGCCGAAAGCCAAGAAACAATCCAGTTGGGACAGCCCCATTGTAGACAAAGAAGCCACAGCTTTGCTGGAGGCAGCAACAACCCCCAGTGATCGTGCACGCCTCACAGCTGTGCAGGCTCCCCATGCAGGGGACTTCCTTCTGGCAGTCCCTATGTCTGCGACAGGCACACGTCTTGATCCGCAGGAGCTCCGTATTGCAGTCGCTCTCCGCCTTGCTGCCCCTATCCACACTGTTCACAGGTGTATTTGCGGCGAGGCAGATGCTGACGAATATGGATTGCATGGCCTGCACTGTGGAAAATCGGGTGGTTGGCACACTGGACACGACGAAGTCAACGACATCATTAAAAGAAGCCTTGCCTCTGTTCAGTGTCCAGCGGAGAGAGAGCCCCACAACCTACTGAACCGTGACTCTGTTAGCTTTGCCGGCCGACCAGACGGAATCACACTACGTCCGTGGAAGGGTGGCAGGCAGTTAGCATGGGACTATACTTGCGTATCCACCCTGGCAACGACATACATCAACCTCTCTGCCGGCACAGCAGGAGCCGCAGCGACACACAGAGAAAAACAAAAGTCAGTCAAGTACAGGCAATTAGATCAAAGGTACAACTTCGTTCCAATTGGGTCTGAGACCCTAGGCCCATGTTGTGATATTGCAAGAAGGTTTCTTAAGGATCTTGGTTCCAAGCTCATTGACACCACAAGAGACCCTAGAGCAGCAAGTTTTCTCTTTCAGCGCCTCAGTGTCGCGATCCAGAGGGGAAATGCCCGCTGCATCCTCGGTTCCTGCCCGGCGTCGGAGGAGTTCGAGGAAATCTACAGCCTCTAGGAAGCGAACTTTTTCTTGTGTCCTCTTAATGTTCATTTTTTGTATAAAATCAGATATGTAACTGTATAACCTTGCATAATAAAGTGTACATCATAATAAAAAAAAAAGAGTTCAGATATAAATTCAGAGTTAAATGGCAAGTTTTTCCCTGAGTGCTCTGTGTTCCCTTCTCTGAGGCTGTGGGTCCCTATAATTGCACCAGTGGTGGTACCCCCCTATATATATATATATATATATATATATATATATATATATATATATATATATATATATATATATGTCGTACGTAGTAGCCAGAACGCACTTCTAAGCCTAATATGCAAGGCCCAATTTGCCTAATAAGCCAAGTTTTCATGAATTAATTGTTTTTCGACTACCTAACCTACCTAACCTAACCTAACCTAACTTTTTCGGCTACCTAACCTAACCTAACCTATAAAGATAGGTTAGGTTAGGTTAGGTAGGGTTGGTTAGGTTCTGTCATATATCTACGTTAATTTTACCTCTAAAAAAATTGACCTCATACATAATGAAATGGGTACCTTTATCATTTTATAAGAAAAAAAATTGAGAAAATATATTAATTCAGGAAAACTTGGCTTATTAGGCAAATCGGGCCTTGCATAGTAGGCTGAGAATTGCGTTCTGGCTACTAGGTACGACATATATATATATATATATATATATATATATATATATATATATATATATATATATATATATATATATATATATATATATATATATATATATATATATATATATATGACTTAAAACTCACACCCCAGAAGTGACTCGAACCCATACTCCCAGGAGCAACGCAACTGGTAACTACAGGACGCCTTAATCCGCTTGACCATCACGACCGGACAAAAGAAAGTGATAGCCGAAGCTATTTGAACCACTTCCCCGCCGGCACTCGGATGGTAATCTTGGGCATAGCATTTTATCAAATCACCTCAATCTTTGGGGCAGACGTGAGGAACACAAATGCGAACAAGCCTGAATGGTCCCCAGGACTATATGCGACTGAAAACTCACACCCCAGAAGTGACTCGAACCCATACTCCCAGGAGCAACACAACTGGTAACTACAGGACGCCTTAATCCGCTTGACCATCACGACCGGACAAAAGGAAGTGATAGCCGAAGCAATTTGAACCACTTCCCCGATGGCACTCGGATGGTAATCTTGGGCATAGCATTTTATCAAATCACCTCAATCTTTGGGGCAGACGTGAGGAACACAAATGCGAACAAGCCTGAATGGTCCCCAGGACTATATGCGAATGAAAACTCACACCCCAGAAGTGACTCGAACCCATACTCCCAGGAGCAACGCAACTGGTAACTACAGGACACCTTAATCCGCTTGACCATCACGACCGGACAAAAGGAAGTGATAGCCGAAGCTATTTGAACCACTTCCCCGCCGGCACTCGGATGGTAATCTTGGGCATAGCATTTTATCAAATCACCTCAATCTTTGGGGCAGACGTGAGGAACACAAATGCGAACAAGCCTGAATGGTCCCCAGGACTATATGCGACTGAAAACTCACACCCCAGAAGTGACTCGAACCCATAATTCCAGGAGCAACGCAACTGGTAACTACAGGACGCTTGACCATCACGACTGTTAGTTACCAGTTGCATTGCTCCTGGGAGTAGGGTTCGAGTCACTTCTGGGTTGTGAGTTTTCAGTCGCATATAGTTCTGGGGACCATTCAGGCTTGTTCGCATATATATATATATATATATATATATATATATATATATATATATATATATATATATATATACATATATATATATATATATATATATATATATATTGTGATGATAATCTCTTTCAAGAGAGATTGAGCCTGCTCTTCCCTACATAATTACGTCAATATACAAGATAATATAGAAGATACGTCCACCAAGTATCGCCAAACGTTTTGCCCAGAGAGCAAATCGTTCCCAGCACACCGTGACACCTGCTACCACCGCCGTAACCAGCTAACCACCAGCTCATCCTCTGCCTGCCTGTCGCTGATTGGCTGGTGACTCGTCGCCCCTGCCCTCCGCCTCCGCCACAAGTCGACGTCTGGGCTGCAGTGCGGCAGTATCGTCAGAATATATCTCAGTGCTCCAAGCAGTTGACATCTCTCGCTGGTAGACTAAGCCTTGGCTTTCGTGTACTAAGAGAGGTGGCAGCTCGAAGCCAGTATTCCAGCACCACTTATATTTTATTTTGCTATCACTGTAACTTATTTGTCTTAACGTAACTTTTCATTTGCCAGTGATTATTCATATTATTTTGTTTGTTGACTTATCTTGCATATTTTTATGTGATTACCTTTATTCATGCCTTGTTTTTCTAGAGTAATTAAAATTTCATTGTTATATACTTGTGTTTTGTGTGTCTTCCCATTACCTTACCACAGACGAAAGGACAAACGTTTCTCTTTTTTTTTATTATGTGACGAGGCCCTGCCCCTAGCTTTTGAAACAGCCGAACACCAACGCTTTACCGTCACAATATATATATATATATATATATATATATATATATATATATATATATATATATATATATATATATATATATATATATGTGTGAGAAAGCTGCATGAACGCGCAAGCCATATATCACTAAGAACTCTTTGACCCGGCCAGGATTCGAACCCATGCCGTCCAGGATCACCCCTAAACGTACACAGTACCGTGACCACCGCACCAATCTAAGAACAAAGAGTTCTTAGTGATATATATATATATATATATATATATATATATATATATATATATATATATATATATATATATATATATATATATATATATATATATATATATATATATAATGATGGCTAGTATACCATACTGTATTCAGGACAATCTACAAAAGACGAAGAGGTCTCTTGGGGATCTGTATATATAAATTATAAAAAATAAGGAATCTCCCATTACATACAATTACAACTTGCATTAAGTTAGAACCTTCTGTACGAGAACGAACTATTAAACTGGATCTTGCCATCTCCATGTTATACTTAACTAAAAATATATAACTTACAATATTAGCTCTGAAGATCTGACCATAGCGAGCAATGACAATCCTGCCAGACACATCGATACCTTCTTCTGCCAGGAAGTGGAAGTCTTCTTCACGACCATAGTAAGCATACACAACGTCACCCTGAAGAGTATTACTTTATTATTCATGGTGATAAAATTTACCATATATAAAATTAAGTTTCAGTAAATTTATACATTTCTTTGAGTAAATTGCTAACCAGGGAAGATAAATACTGAACAGTTTGCCGAAGACAAATACTAAACTGTTTGCCGAAGACAAATGCAAAACTGTTTGCCGAAGACAAATGCAAAACTGTTTGCCGAAGACAAATGCTAAACTGTTTGCCGAAGACAAATGCAAAACTGTTTGCCGATGACAAATAATAAACAGTTTGCCGTGGAAGCATACTACAGCTACTGACCATAAAGTTTAAACTAACACCTTCCTTAAACTAGACGGTGCAATAACGGACTTGGACTGTGACGTCAATCTCACGTGGCCGTACAAAATGTATAAGTTACTGTACAAAAAGAAATCTCCAAGGAGTAGACAAGAGTAGACTACAACTGTCTCTTTAGAAACTGGAAAGGGATGGTCATAGTCGACTTTTACACTACTACCTACGGGCCTAAAGGCAGGGAACGGTCCTACCCACAGGCCATTTTAGTGACTTATAGGCAGGGGACGACCTTTCCCAGGATGTAACCCACAACAGCTGTCTACTCCCAGGTAACTGATTATTAATGGGTGAACAGGTGTCAAGTTATGGAACGCGTGTGTGAGCGTCTCATGCTCTAACGGAAATTGAACCCAGAACCTTAAGGTTGTGAATGGATTGCTTTGATTATTATCGAAATATAACTTAATTCATGATCTTTTGTTAACAAAACTTTATCTGAGACATGTTAGTAAACCTGACTCCACTCACCAAGGCGGGTAAGTGGAGTCAGTGAGGCCCCACTTACCGTCACATTACCGCGGGGAGCATACCCGAGGAAGGTGAAAGGCAACTCTGGCGAAGCTTCTTCGGGCGCATAAAGAGACTTTTGCTTCGCTGCGGACACCCAGGCAGTGTTCCCCTCACCGTCAACTATGCGCAC